TAATAATAATAATAATAATAATAATAATAATAATAATAATAATAATAATAGTCATGCTTATAACTCAATTTCACAAAAAATGTAGAATAGTTCCTTGTCCTACTGAGCCCTTCAATTGTCTCCAACGAAATTCTTTACACCGAAAAACTCCTTGTAACGTAGAAGACATTGCTTGAGTTTGATTTGTTTACTATCAAATCCTAACTTAATGCTGTTTTTAACGAAACATCTCTGTAACAAAAGAAAGTACTAATTTGTCGTTCAAAATTCGTCCAAAATAATTTACATTGTATTATCCAAACGGTTTCTCTGCCTTATCCATTACTTGATATGATGCACATAGGGATAAATAATTATGAAATTGTCTCAAAATAATATATGTACTTGTGGTGAAATTTCACTTAATATATTTCACCGAAAAATATTTACTTGAACGAAATTTTGTTTTTCATTTTTATGTTAAACGACATTTTCTACTTTAGCTTACAAGAGCCTCAAAAAACAACAAAACAAAAAAATGAATTACAAAAATAAAAAACGCTACCCCGCAAACCGTGGGTTCCACCACGTCCTGGAACATAACGCTGACTAAGCTTCCGGATGCAATGAGCTGTTACTCACGCTGCACGGTGAGGTTGATGACGTGCTCCTTGATGACGGAGTCGTCCGCCAGGTACTGCACCGCGCGGCACACGTACGGCCCGGCGTCCACGCGCGTCACGTTGCGTACCAGCAGGCCCTCCTTGCGCACCTCCAGCTTGGCCGTGGCGTCTGCGCACCACCAAACATTGTCTTTCAAGGGTTTCAACATCAAGCGCAATATGGGGAGAAACTCAAAAAGAAACATCTAAACATGCTACTGGCATTTGTAAGTACTTTTTTGTTTCAATTTGAAGAGTTATTGCTTTCTTAAAAATAAACAATGGTTATTAATAGAACATAATACATGAACATTTATAGAATAAATTATACTAGTACAGGGAGAAAGGATAACTATGGAGGATATAAGAGATCTTTGGAGTAAGGGGATTTAATTCGCAGAAAATAATTAACAGTTTTTCTAAGTTGAAAAGATGTATACACAGGAGAAGAAGAAACGGAAGCATAAAATTTATCTGAGAGACGAAGGATACGGGATTTTAGAGGAAGAATACTGAGTTTGTGTAATATTTGATCGTCTTTATGAAGCAGGGTGCTTGCAATGCTTTCCTTAAATATTTATTTTGTAAAAACTAAACTTTGTTTTTCTCCCTCAGGAAACAGCTTCAGACTGTGCCCCTTGCCCCGTCTTGCATTACATTCACTCTCTGCTACCAGTACCTAGGATTTGGGGAGGGGGTGTCCCCCACTCTCTCACCATTCCCCCTCTCTCTAGTTCCCCAGGCCGGGACCCTAGCCGTCGGTACCCCGCTGATGTACCCGCAGCCCTTCCCAGATAGGTCTTGGTTATCGCCCAGGCGCCCCTGTGGTCCGTAGATCCTTAGCGGAATGATGGTTAATGACTTAGTTTTCTACTTCCTTTGGTCTCGGCCAGCTATTTGGACTTGCCACATACTCTGGCCAGCTGCCATCTATCGCCATTCAAAGCACATTTCTTTGAAATTTTCTCAACTTTTCGGTTTCCTAAGAGTAGAACGGAAATATTATTTTAAGAAATTCAAAAACAGAAAACTTCGTCTTAAATGGCAATTATCTTTGAAAAATTTGGAGCCGTTTTTATGAATATGGCGTTTAAGCGCTATTGTAAATTCGAAATTTTAAGCTTTTCATTTTGAGTTTTCGAACAACTTTATTAGTAGTCATTTAACGTACATTAAGTCACAAATACAAAAGTGTTTACAAATTGGTGGAAATAAGCCCAATAACAGCGTGAGAGACCTTTCAAAATGAAAAAAAAAAATAATATGGCGTCTATGTGATCTTCTAGAGAACGTTTAGCAGTATCCCTACCAAAAGTTTAAAGAAAACATTTGGAGCTATTTTCGAGAAAAACTTGTTTTTGTAAATTTTAAAATTGCAAATATTGCACGCAATATTGTGCTAAAACTACTTAAAGTTTAAAAAATGTACATGACATTAATGAAAAAACTAATTATGGATAAAAAAATTAATTTTAACGAAAAACCTCTACCTTCAATTTTGAAGGAAGACGCTGAAAAAATTCATACCTTTGAAAATTTTTGAAAGTTCAAAATTAACCGTGAAAGCCGGATCCAAGCCACGTTTGTAAGTGAATGTTACTTTACTCTTACAAGAAATTTAAAGAACAATTTGGAGCCGTTTTTGAGCAAATTTTTAAAATGTACGGAGAGTTTTATGTAAAGTACCCCCAAATTTTAAAAAAAATGCTTTTCAAAGCTTCGACTCGGGCCAGATGGACAGGGGTTTCCCCATTTTGGAAAACATTCTACTCGTACGCACGAGTTACGCGCTCGTATTCACAGACGGACAGAGGGTCGCACAAATTGAAGTTTTGCCGTCAATTGAGTTTTCGGTATCAAGGGCCCACAAACGATGGATTCTGGCTACACCATGTGTTAGAGGATTTTTCCTCTTAATTTAGCAACTAGAGTTATCCAGTTTCTCGTTATCAGGACCCGGCAATGATTTTTTTCTACCGAAAAATTCGCCGTTTTTTCGCGCAACATTACATAACTTTCCCTATTTGACATATATTACTCCGAAGATAGTAATAGTAGGTAGACTCTGTATAGGGGAAAGTAAAAAATATTTATTTCATGTCCAGCAGAAAATGCTTCTCAGGGAATTGAACTGGTACAATGATATTAACATATTTGGATTTTTATTGTATTTTTTCTTTTAGCTGACACTAGTCAGCTAAACCTAAACACCTGTCGGCGATTATACTTATTTTTTAATTATTTTACATCGTATTTTGACCCAATTTTGTCTTAAAAGGCTTTGAATATATGCATCTTTTATTTTTTGTGTATAAACCTGAGTACAAATGTCTACGGAGGTCGAAAATCGTCTTAGGGAAACGGGAACGGATTCTTGATTCTTGAAATTGCCAAGGATTTGCCAAGGATTCGCCACGTAAAATAAGGCAAATTCAATTCAATTCAAATCAATTCAAAGGTTAAAAAAAAGGGGCACAAGTTAGGAACTGTTGTTTGGAATAAAATTATTCATTCAATTATGACAGAAATTCAGTGACTGAAGCAATTGCTAATGAACGAAGGATATGTAATGAGTTTGTGTAAACAACATTGTTTTGCGTAAGTGAAGACTCACTGACGACGAAGGCGCCGTTGCGCAGCCACGACACCTCGGGCGCCGGGTTGCCCCGGGGCGCGCACTGCAGCGTGGCGTCGCCGCTCTGTTGCGCCGTCTGCTCGCGCGCGCCCGCGAAGCTCAGCGGCTCTGCAACACACACGCGCACACGCACGCACTCGCCAGCCGTCCTCCCGCGGCGCCGCTCTACGCTGCTCTTCAGCGCCGTTTGCCTCTTTGGAAACGGCGCATGTATTACTGCTATTTGTGCATAGGGCCTACGCGTTTTATTCCGTTTCTCTAGTACTCGTATTCAGTGTTATTTCATTTCATTCCAATTTACACTAATATAATTGTCACAGAGATGAATGAAGCACACAGTTCTGTTCTTGACTCAATATTTGTAATGGACCATTAAAAAATGTTTAATTTTAGGGGAAGGAAAAGCAGGCGGAAACAAAGGGGTAGATGGAAACTGGAATAATACTGGTCACCACACTGGAAACCATTCTCAGTATCATTTTCAATTTTGAGAAAAAATAAATTAACATTAACTTACATGGCAAATTGAATATTTTATTCAAATATCTACTGAACGTCACGTTTTGTAAACATTGTTTATATTATTATAGTACATTATAATATTTTTGAAGTTAATTTTATTTGTTTCAGGAGGATAAATAGGTTGTGTTATCAAGGGTAGTTGGTTTTCAAATTTCTCAATTGTTTTTTGCCAACAACTCATCTTTTAAATTTTTCGATAACATCTAAATGAATTTGAAGACATTTAATGAGGGCATTTTTATAATGGTTTTAGTGAAATCTTTCATATCTGGTATACTACATAAGAAATGCAACGGTAGATCAAGTATTTCAGACCATTGAAATTCATTAACTACACAGTGAACAAAAACAGAAAACCACAAAAAAGACATACACTCGTAAATATGATACACACTGACCAACTACGATGCTTCACCTTGGCCTGACGTATGGCCGAGATAAGATTATACTGTAAGCGCGCAGTTCTTTCTGATTTGTACGACCACTGGCATAAACGTCTTCACAAATATCTGCATCTAGTTTAAAAAGGGTCTGGTGATATTTGCCTGATTCTGTAATGCTCATTCTTATTTTAAAAAAGCGAAGGAATGCTTCCCTTGTAGCCTTATCAGCTGGCAGCAACCGCAGTGTTTCAGCAGTTCTTACATTGTAGTTAAGACTTTTTATAGAAGTAAGATAAATCATTTAAATGTTAAAATGAAAATTTTTGACAATTCAAAGAGATAAACTCCAAAAAAGTTATAATGCTCACAACTGAATGAGTCAGCCTTTTCGGATATACTACTGCTTATCATTTAAGTGTATGAAGACAATAGATCATGATACATTTTCTAAATTTTACATATTTCACGAACATTTCCTTTATTATTAATACTATTACTATAATAATAATAATTATTAATAATATTATTATGAAACTAAAATATTTTCTAGCTCTCCAAATTTGTTTGATTAAATGGCAACATACTTCTTTTCAATATTGTACATGGCATTTCCTTGTCTCACAATATAAAATAAAATTATCTTAATTTAGACTTGTGCTCAATTTTTATCATTAAAATAAGTAGTATTACAATAATTTACAGTAATCTCAAATTTTTGAAAATAAGTTATAAGAAGCCGCAGAAGGTACATTATTTAAATGTTAATATTTAGTTATTAATTGTTTAATTAATAGATAAGTAAATTTAACATTTAACCATTGTTTTTCAGATTTATTAATTCCTACCTGCTAAATGTTGGGTATTTAATTATGATTTCCAACTTTATTAATTATAATTCATATAAAATCCTACAATTGCTGTTCTAGAATTTTTGGAGGAAAAAATTGTTTATTGTTATTTTAATGCATACGTCAATTATATATTTGTTAAGGGGTTTAGTTTTTTGGCAGAATAAAGATAAATTTTTGTAAACACAATTTTCTTGAATTGGACTGAAAAAAAAGCAGGAATGCTGTTTGGGGATACATAAATGGTCCGTTGAACTCACTGTTTCATTCTTTGATTAGCTCCAAGGAGTGATTGCGCGTCACAACGTGGGAGAAATATCTACAGAGTGGGCCTAAACGAATACGCAAACGCGGTTTGTTTCCGAGAATGCTGTGTACATAAACTACCAGTTCAAGTTCCAGAAAAACTAAATTTAATTTCTCTAGGGGACGATGCAAACAATGACAACCATCACAAATACCCCGGCGTTTTAATGAATTGACCCTTTCGTGGTTCCTTGGAGAATCGCAGACATTAAGTTTTAGAACAACTATTACAACTCTAAATTAATGTTCACGTCTTCATTAATACTATGTGTGGCAAAGTTTTGTTTTGAACCTGTATCAAGCCGTCTGTAAACAAATTTAAAAACAATATTCACAAATTGAAAATCTTACATACTTTAACAATGGCATATTTTCTTCTTGTTTTTGCAGTGTGAAGTTTTATTTTCTACAGACAATATAGCTGGTCAGCCAGCATTTTAGAAAGTCTTGAATTTTCTTCTCATACTACCTTCCTGGGTGTAGAACGATGACACACTTTTTCGAAAATACCACCTTTTCACCTATGTTTTCGAGATGATAGGCAGTCTTCTTTGGCGTATTTTCCTCATAACAACCACGAGCGAAAGGAGACATTGTTAGGGGAATGAAAGGTCTCGGAATTTAGCTCAAGAGATGATCTTTATGGCTGAGGTATTTTTGTTTCACATGCAGGAAATCTGCGGCAAGATACAATTACTTTTAAATGTTTTTTTCATAAATCCAATTTCACGACTTCCACCTGACTCCACAATTTCTCCGCTTCCTATCATCAGACACTTAGAAAAGTTACACATTTTTCGAAGAGCTTATATTTAAGTGGCCACAACACTCGCGTCATGGATTTCGTCCTATACCTCGATATCTAGATCAATTTGTACCAAGTAACACTCTCTATTTCAATCAGACCACATGTACTAATGGCAAAAATTGAATGTGTGTGTTTCAAAAGGGCTTTCAGATGTTAATATTTCTTACATGACATAATAGAGCACTGATTTGATTGCTATGAACTAACCTTTAAAAAGAGTCACACAGTGTATATATGAACTTTGTACATGAGTAAGTATGAAGTCTGCCTTTTTGAGCACTTTTTATTTTCATGGACGCTTACTGTTTTATACGTACCTACTACTGTGAGTGTGAAATAACTTGGAGAATATTCTGCGTTTTTCGAGCGACACGTGTAGTTACCGCTCAAGTCGACGGAAATGTTGGAAAAAATAAGGATTTTCTGCGAGCTGTTGCCGGCCACGGCCACTCTGGAACAGAGAAACAAAGAAACTAAAAATTAAGATAAAGTAAAGAACCAAAGAAAAGACGAGGCTTAGGCCCAAGGAGTGCGATTCGGCGATAAATTGAAATTTAATTAGAGACAAATTTAATTAAGTTAGAAATTTAATTAATATGACATAGTGGATATATTCGCAATGTCATATTGTCGTCTTTGATTTAGTGAGTATATCCATTGTAAAGTTCAATATACCACAGGGCAGAGAAACCAATGCACTCATAACTGAAAAATGTTGACTTAATGTGATTCACTTGTACTGGACAGAATGGCAAAACAAATATGCATTAAACGTATAAAAAAGGTTTTTGATCTTACCGATTTTCCTCGAAACTACGACACAAGTGGAAGGAAACACAGGTAACTCAACTGAGATTAGATTATCTGATTTTCAATCGAGACGGTGAATCATTTCACATGGTAAAAACACACACCATCGTGTTCCTCACAACAATCAATAAATATTTCCTTTCGTATTTTGATGTGAAAAGCATAGAACCCTGCATTTCTAACTGTCCGTCTTCGTCGCAGTTGGTCCACCTGCGGCCCTTCGCGCCTTCTGCCCGGGGCCGGGATGGGCAGCAGCTTCTGGCGGCCAAACGCGCCAACGGCTCCGAGCGCACGGCATTAAAAGTATAAAAATATTTTTTTTCTTGAGCGACAGTTAGACCATATCCTTAGCGCTTCCAATCATTTTAAGCAGAACCTTCTGGTAGTTATAGAACAGAAATCGTACAGAAACTATTGTTTAGTACCAAAGCGTTTCTGAGCAAAGTGTCACTAGTAACAATTGTTCATTTAAACGAGAAGACGATGGAGTGATTGTTTTCCACCTGAAATGACTGATCCTATGGATCTAAGGCTATGGCTCCTATGGATCTATGGATTAGGCAGCGGCGCAGCGAAGTGGGGCTCTTTTAGGGGGGGATTTTACCATCTGTCTGCTGCCATCTATCGCCTCCCATAGTACATTTTTTAAAAAAAATTCTTAATTTTTCGGTTTTCTGATAGTTGGATAGAAATATTATTTTAAGAATATTAAAACCCAGTAAAACCACTTCCTCAATAGACATTTTCTTTGAAAAATGGAGCGATTTTAAGAAATGGCGCTTAAGCGCTATAGTACTTTCGAAGTTTGAAGAACTTTCTCACTGATCCGTTTTGGGTTTTCGAAGAATTTCATTGGAATTTATTTGATGCAGTTTAACTCACAAATACAATAGTGTTTACAAATTGTTGAAAATAGGAATATTACTGGCGTGAGAAATCTTTCAAAAAATTTACATATGTGTAACATTTGAAAAAAAAAAAGAATTTTATCTCATATAAGAGTGCAATTTTGAGCCGTTTTTGAAAAAGTGGCATTTCAACGGTTTTGAAATGCGAAATTTTGAGCAAGTTTTAAAAGAAAACGGTTGAGTTTTCTAGTAGTTTTTTTATGTCAATATTTAAAGCACATATACTAAGAAACATGTACTAAATAATGTGAACAAATTGCCGCTAATGTAAATATTAACGACGTGAGAGACAAATAAAAATATATTTTTGTAATTTTTGAAAACAAACGAACACAAGAATAGAGCAATATAGCGTTTATTTCGTCTTATAGAGTGCATTTACTACAATCCCTACCAAAAGTTTAAAGAAAAATTTAGAGCCGTTTTTGAAAAAAAAAATTGTATTTGTTATGTTTCAAAGTTAAGCGTTGTGCGTTGTGTGTGTGTGTGTGGGGGGGGACTCACTGCGCCGTCTTCATGTCGGGGATGGGCTTCATGCGCGGCCCCAGCCACTCGGCGTCGGGCGCCAGGCAGGTGACGACGAACGCCGAGCGCTCCTCCTTGTGCAGCTTCTGCTCCGCCGGCTGCAGCTCCACCGCGCCGGCCGCCCCTGCACCCACAAACCATGCATCAGGAAAACCCTTTTTAGCCCTGTCAAAGTCACTTTCTGAAAATAAGGAGAAAAACATATTAATAGCTCATTACGAGAAACCTGGAAATACTACATTATCTACATAAGATAATTGAATGTTTCCTACAAAGTCGTTCCTTCACGATAAAAGTGAATTCTAATATCTTATCAGATTAAAAAATCACCAAAGCAGAATTACCGTAAGGGTTGGCGCTCTCACCAACCCTCCAATTTGTAAACTATTGCAGACTACCTTCAGACGGAAAGGGCACAAATAGCATGTTTCGCTGATGACAGTGAGCTGTTCACAACAAACATGCGGATAAAGGTAGAGAAATTTACAAAAATCATTAGATTCATTCATAAATTGGTGCTTAAAATGGCATAAATAAACCCTATAAAATCACAACCCAAGATATTTACACTACGTAGATCCCAAATACCCAACCCAATAAAAATTAAAAATGGATCAAAAAAGATCAACCTGTGAGATATTTAGGAGAACTTCTACACCAAAAACTAACGTGGAAATATCACATTAAAGAAATAGCTAATAAAACATACGTGGAAATCGAAAAACTATATCTATTCATAAATAGCCACTTCATAGTAAGCATAGAATGTGAGATAACTTTATTCAAACCCATTTTAGACCATCATTCAATGTCGCTTGTCCTGTCTGGGGTGGAGCTGCAAAAAGTAACTTAGAGAAAATTCAAGTAGTTCACAATGAATTTTTAAGACGAATTATTAAACGCCATGGTTCATATTAAATACATAAATTAGAAACGGACTTGAAATTGAAAACTTGAATACTTACATCAGACTTCTATCAGTAAATTTGTTTGAGGAAGTACCAAAAGCGGAATGTGTTACATAAGTTAATCTAAGACGATCAGAAGAAATCAAAATTGTTTCAAAGTATTCCAACTATAAATTACGCCCGCCATGAACGCTTCATTAAGAATGCAAATTGAAAATAAAAAAAAATTAAACATACGAACATATCATTTAACAATAAAATGTCATAACCTCAAAACATTTTTTAAAAAAATCCAAACTTTAAATTAAGAGAAACGTAACAAAGTGAGAGGGAACTTCGCCTAAATGAACCTGCTTATGCTCTAACCCAGTAATAATGCCAATCTCTGTAAAATCAGTGGATTGATCAGACAGAAAATAAAGCTGTTAAAAATCTTTAACTTTTGGGGGGTTTTCAACAATTGCATTTGTTTCACAAACATTAGTTCTGTCCTTTAAATTCCCTCTCTTGCCAGAAACTTAATTAGAGGAAATAAATATGCATTTTGAATATTATAATTATCCAGTTTGTAGATATTGCAAATCACAGCATCCTTTTCATCATTCGAAAATTACGCGAGAATACACCATCCTGTTTTGCAAGAGTTAATGCCAACGCGCACTTTTACTTTTAACTTCAGTTAAAAAAAATATATTATTCTCTACGCCACTATTCCTCGCCTTCTTTCTGATATATTCTCTTTAATTTTATGGATATATTTCCCTTTTATTTGACCTTCAAATCTTTAATCATTCTTTGTAAATTTTCTCAATAATTTACATTTTTTATTTAAATCGATGATTTTTTGTGAATCATATAATTTAAATGCATGATTTTTTGTGAAACATGTGGAGTAAATCTTGATTTAAATGAATATACAAATATATAAATAATCGACCCTATTAAAAATAGTTAACAAGTCCTCCAAATAAGTCTTTAACGCCGAGTCCTTAAAGACTAGTGGAGGACTATTATATTCAATGTTTTTTGTAATTTCTAGTTGTTCAAACTAAACAACACCTTCACGACTAAAGAATTGCCATTACTCTCGATGATCTGTAGCAAGGGTTGTTGGTGCAGGTCTCGGAACCGTTTGTAAATAACAATTGCAGTGAGAGGAAGGACCAAAGGGACAAGTGGAAAAAGCGGGGAAGGAAGACGAAGATAGCAAGGGAACAAAATAGACAAATGGGACAAACGAGACTAATGGGACAAAAGGGACACACACACGCCAAAGATGTATGAGTACCGGTAAAATCTAAACCAGAGAGTCCGCTAAAATATTTTTAATGGACTGTCCAGTTTTTTAACGGTCGTTGCTAGGGACGCGCTCTTATGGCGTTGTTTAGATGGTTGGTTGAATTCTCGGCTATCCGGGAGATGCGTTGTTGGCTGGGGTGCCAACGACGCGGCGTCTCCCGGATAGCCGAGAATTCATGGATTCGAGCCGCGGAAGCTTACGTATACATAGATGGTTGGTTGCTAAGGGGCTAAGCGCGTGTTTATAGACGTAATTAATATGTGATTTTGTTCTATTTACGGTTTCTTTATTGCAAAGAATATTTGTATCAACGTATACATGAGAACTGGTTTTGAAAACGAGCGACGTCAGCAAGATTACAAACGAGTTGCATACGCTGTATTTTCTATAACTGCATTATACCTTTATAAGAGAATCAAACAATTTTACGAAACAACATTCTTGTAACATGTCGGATATTTGACATTCGTGCGAGGAAACGGTGTTCAGCTGTTCCGTTCTCCTCTGCCTCCCCACGATTCTTTCTCTGCGATTAGTTGAATGTGAGATGACGCAATCATTCGTGCCATCAAATCCAATACGTCTTAATTATACCGTAAAATGCTTTCTTGCAACAGAAAGGTCGTTTATAATGTTAGTATCTGGTATACAAAAAATATTTTAAAACTACGGAGGCGCAGCTCACTCTGGCATCGTTAAATCGAACGCAAGCGGTCGCCATTCGAGTTCACTCCTGAAACGACAGATAGCAGCACGTACTCCATTCGAGAGTTCCCGGCCCTCCCGTCGTAACCATCGCTTCGCGGCAGTTCGTGGACCGAAATAATTATGGAAGAGCGCGCCACGCGGGGTGTCGTGAAATTAAAACTTCGTAATCAGTGCGCGTTTGCATTTTGAAACTAATTCCGAGGGCGGTCGCAAAATGGCCACTGGTGCGCGTGGCCAGCCGCGAACGCGCATGGCTCGGGAGGCTGTTCCGGCATTTTAATAAATATTAAAT